TGTTGAACTTCATACCTCTGACTGCTCATCTAGTCCATGAATCCCCGCCCCGGCCCCGCCTCTTCTCCACCTCCTCCCCTGAGCACGCCCGTGTCCCCACTCCTCCCCCTCCCTCCTGGAAAGTCCTGAGCACTACCAAACAGCTGTGTGGTGGCAGGAAGCGCTGGGAGGTAGGCAGAGGAGCAGGGACGTGGCACCCTCGGGCAGGGAGGGGTAAGGGGAGCTTGGCTGCCGGTGGAGTCGGCGCCTGGGCCACGTGTTTGAGACCCCTTTTCTAGTTCATACTTGCTTAACTTGGTCCATAGTCCATTCCTTTACTAAATCAGTAGTTTCAAACAACAGACACTGCTCACTAGCTAACTGGGTCATATACAGCAGCATACATAGAACTCAGAGGCTTTTCTTCCAGAGCACAAACGTCTAGCACAGTGGTTCTCAAACTTTGTACTGGTGGCCCCTTTCACATAGCAAGCCATGGAGTGTGACACCCCCCCCCCTTAAAATTAAAAATGCTTTTAAATATATTTATCACCATTATAAATGCTGGAGGCAAAGCAGGGTTTGGGGTGGAGGCTGACAGCTCACGACCCCCCATGTAATAACTTCTCGACCCCCTGAGGGGTCCTGAACCCCAGTTTGAGAATCGCTGCTCTAGCACTTATGCTAAAGGAGATTTTATTTGAGTGGTGGTAATATTAAGGTATATAGACTGTGGATTGCAGCCACTAAGAGGCAACATAGGCGCACACTTAAGCAGGTCTGAGCACCCCACTCCAGTTGGGGTGCCACAAACATGTTTCCCTAGTGCATGACAGCCTCACATAATTCATTTTCCTTCCACTCCTCCCTATCCTGGATTACTTATCAGTTCTTTGCTCAGCCAGAGCAAGCCCACTAAAGGAGAGAGGAGTTCAGTGCAGTACTTTCATTTAAATATAGCTTCCTTTGTTAATGCAGGGCTAATGGTAAGCAAAAGGGAAAAGGATGGGCTCTAGTTAAATTTTAAAAAGAAGTGAATGGCTAGGAGGAAGGGCAAGTGTGGGGTTAGAAAAGATTTGGGGTAGAAGATTTGGGAGGTTCATGAGATAGGAAGAAGAGATGATTAAGCCAAGGCTACCAGAGCCTAGAACAAACGGAAGACTAAAGGCACAAATCTATAAACCAAGAATAGTTTTGGGCACTAAAGAAATCAAGGTGGTATTTGCTTTACATTGTTATTACAGTACAGTAATAGCCCTCTATTTATCCTCTTTCATTAGTGGCTCTCAAAGTGCTCTTCAAACATTAATAATTTGAGCCCCACAATGCATGTGCCCCACAAACTCGTACAGATGAGTAAACTGAGGTTGGGAGGAGAAGTGAAAGTGTGGCCGCATGCACAAACACCCACATAATTGTGGTATTTGGATGTAGGATCCCAAGATGGGAGAGGGAAGTAGAATGACTTTGGAATTTGATGTATAGCTGCAAAACCAGGGAAAGTGCTGCATAGTTAAAAATGAATGAATGCAAAGTCACAGGGTTGATTTTTCTTCCCATTTATGTCCTTGTAAATCAGGAGTAACTTCATGGAAATCAATGGTGGTTGCACGCTGATAGGGCCTTTATCAACCACTTTGCACCAGTGCAGGTTTAGAGCTGATAGCAGAATCAGACTCTAATACCCCCCCATTCTGCACTGGTTTCCATCACACCAAGGGCAGAATCTTATTTGTATCTCAGCAGCACCTAGAGGTCCCAACTAAAGATCAGGGTTCCATTTTGTGTGTGTGTGTGTGGCGGGGGGGCGGGTCACAAACCCAGAGTGAGGCAGCCCCTGCCCTGAAGAGCTCGTGGACTATAAATAGACAAGCCAAAGGGGTGGGAGAAAAGGATATTGTGATCCCCATTTACAGCTGAAGAACTGAGGCCCAGAGATGTTAAGTGACTTGCCTCATGTCTTGCAGAGAGTCTGAAATCCAAGCTGGACTCCAGTGCTTTAACTTACCAGACCATTCTTCCTTGCTGACTCCCATATGGGGTTGGATTCAGAATAACTCCATAGGCTTTGGCAGAGTCACTCCAGATTTTCTACTGTGTAACTGAGAGCAGGCTCTGGCCTTGAAAGCGTGGCAGAGTACTGGTCTAGGATGACCGTATGCCGCATGCTCTGTGTTTTAGAAATCCTGGGTTTGCTGAACGAACCAGCTCCCACATGTCTTGCTGTTTTTAGGAATGGAATCATTTGCTCATCACCTGCTCCAGGGAATGTTTTGGATCCACCTCATACACTTGCTACATACACATGATTGTAAACATGTGGGCGCTGCAGGCAGCCAAAGGTGTGCCAAGATCGCAGTGCTCTAGCCAGGAGGAGAAGGTGGTAGGAGAAATAACAATGTGTAAACACCACAAGGTCAGCATTTCCCTCTGCTTTTAGCCACTCCATGCTCTACACAGCTCTCGGGGAAACTTCAGAGGAGAGGCCCAGGCTGGTGAATCTGACTGGAATCTGAGCAGAAGTTCTGTGGGGTTTCTGGAGACACAGCCCAAGGCTCAGATCTTCGGAGGTCTTTAGGGTCCTAACGCTCATTGAAGTCAAGATATGTTAAAGGGGCCAGCTTTTCATGGTCTCAGGTTGGGCATGGGGACCCAAAACTCCATAGTTCTGAGGCCAGAAGGGACCACTGTGATCAGCTAGCCTGACCTCCTTCATAACAAGGCAAACTGCGACAACCAGACTCCTCAAAAAGAACAGGAGTACTTGTGGCACCTTAGAGACTAACAAATTTATTTGAGCATAAGCTTTCGTGAGCTACAGCCCACTTCATCGGATGAATGCAGTGGAAAATACAGTGGGGAGATTTTATATACACAGAGAACATGAAACAATGGGTGTTACCATACACACTGTAACGAGAGTGATCAGGTAAGGTGAGCTATTACCAGCAGGAGAGAAGGGGGGGGAAAAACGACAGCTTCAAAAACAGACTCCAATGAGAGACTGCTGAATTGGAATTAATTTGCAAACTGGACACCATTAAATTAGGCTTGAATAAAGACTAGGAGTGGATGTGTCATTACACAAAGTAAAACTATTTCCCCATGTTTATTCCCCCCCCCACACACACACACACACACACTGTTCCTCACATGTTCTTGTCAACTGCTGGAAATGGCCCATCTTGATTATCACTACAAAAGGTTTTTTTCTCTCCTGCTGATAATAGCTCACCTTAACTGACCACTCTCGTTATAGTGTGAATGGTAACACCCATTGTTTCATGTTCTCTGTGTATTTAAAATCGTCCTACTGTATTTTCCATTGTATGCATCCGATGAAGTGAGCTGTAGCCCACGAAAGCTTATGCTCAAATAAATTTTAGTTTATAAGGTGCCACAAGTACTCCTTTTCTTTTTGCAGATACAGACTAACATGGCTGCTACTCTGAACCCTGATGCTTAACAATGTCTCCCACCTTGTATTTAGCTGTGATACACTGGGTTACCTTTTCCAGACCTGTAGAAGAGCTTTGTGGAGCTCAAAAGTTTGTCTCTTTCACCAACAGAAGCTTGTCCAATAACAAAAGTTACCTCACCCACTTTGTATCTCTCCTATCCTGGGAGAAACATGGCTACAACACCATTGCAAATAACAATGGCAGATACGGAATTTATCCTATGTGTTAATTAGACATTGGAGTTAAATAGATATGAACAAAACAACATATTTCACTAGTTCTCTAGCCACCACAGATTCTTCTAGGCTAAACAAGACCTGATTTTCCATTTTCTTCATGGAGACCAAAAAACAAACAATTGGTTTGTTTCAGTCTTCCAAGGAGCTTTTATATGCCATAAAGAAGCAAAAAGTGGCACAATCCATTTCTTCCCCTTACGTAAGAACGGCTATACTGGGAAAAACCAATGGCCCATCTAGTCCCGTGTCCTGTCTTCCAACAATGGTCAGTGCCAGGTGCTTCAGAGGGAATGAACAGAACAGGGCAGTTATCAAGTGATCCATCCCCTGTTGTCCAGTATCAGCTTCTGGCAACTAGCGGTTTAGGGACACCCGGAGCATGGGATTGTATCACTAGCTAATAGCCATTGATGGACCTAACCTCCATGAACTTATCTAATTCTTTTTTTTTTTAACCTAGTTATACTTTTGGCCTTCACGACATCCCCTGGCAATGAGTTCTACTGGTTGACTGTGTTCAGGGGCAGCAGGTTTGTGTAATTGTTGGTGGTGCCCAGAACAGGTCCAAGTCCCGCCTCCCTCCCCACCTGCCTAAGGCTTTGGGAGGGGGGAGGGGTCGGGCTCTGGGAGGGAGTTCGGGCGCAAGCTCTGGGTTGGGGGCTTGGGGTGCAGGAGGGGGTGTGGGTGTCAGGCTCTAGGAGGGAGTTTGCACGCAGGGTCTGGGCTGGGGCAGGGTTTGGGGTGTGGGAGAGAGTGAGGGGTACAGTGCGTACCTCGGGTGGCTCCCGAAAGCAACCCACACGCCCCTCTGGCAGCAGCTCCTGGACGGGGCCGGAGGGGTCACCATGCGCTGCTGTCTGCAGGCACCACACCACAGCTCCCATTGGCCACAGCTCAGGGCGGGGGTAGCATGTGGAGACGTGTCCCTCCCCGTGTTCCCCCCAGGGGCTGCAGGGACATGCTGGCCACTTCCAGAAGCGGAACAGGCGGGAAGCCGCCTTAGCCGTTGTGCTGCCTGGCCTTTTAAAATGATCTGTTTTAATTGATTCATTGAATTTCATCTGCCATTTGGTTGCTCAGTCACCTAGTTCAGTGAGATCCCTTTGTAACTCTTCACAGTTAGCTTTGGGCTTAACTATTTTCAGTAATTTTGTATCATCTGCAAATTTTGCCACCCTTTTTCCAGATAATTTATGACTATGTTGAATAGCATAGAGCCTTGGAGTGATCCCACTATTTATTTTTCTCCACTGAAAACTAACCATTTATTCCTACCCTTTGTTTTCTATCTTTTAACCAGTTATTGGTCCATGAGGACCTGCGTTCTTATCCCATGACAACTTATTTTGCATAAGAACCTTTGGTGAGGGAACTCCACTTGTCAAAGGCTTTCTGAAAGCCCAAGCACACTCTAGCCACTGGATCCACTTTAAAGTCCACTTTACAGTATGATTGTTCAGACAGCTGGAAAGTGCATATTGTTTACTTCGCACCCTGGAGAATGAGATCCTGCCAGGTGCTGAAGGCTCTGAGCTCTGTACTGGGTTCTCACAGACACAGCTCCTGTGTAACATGCACAGAACCATCCAAAAGGGAAGAACATTTACAAACAAGTGCAATCTCGACAGCCCAACCCCCAGCATCCTCTCTCTGCTTCAGAGGATATCAGGCAATCATTAGCAGAGGAAGTGATTCAGTGAAAGGGAACCTCTCGTGCGTACGCTCTCACGCAGCTGCACCTTGACAGTGTGTGGGCTGGGCTCTGTTAACACAAGCTTCAGCAGGGGCTCGCATATACAAGCTGCACAGTCCTCTGAGGTCTGGTGCTTCCCCCAGTATTCGACGAGAGTTCTTTTAAAGAGTCTCCTGGGACTCTTTTCCATCTAAAAGAATCATCCCAGGCCGTTGCCGCTGCCACCAGGCTGAATTGGCAAGAGGTAAGTCAGCTTCTGACTTCACGGAATTGTTCTTGTTTTTAACCTTTTAAAAAAATCGTCTGGGGAAGAGGGTCTGGTGCCTAGGGGACGCTGGGTTAGCAGTGTAGTTGCTTCTGTCTGGTGAAAGGGGTTTCTTCCAGGGGGCCTGGCATTGTCCAGTCTGGTTGGTTTCATTTGCTGAGACTCCATGGTGCAGTTATATGGTGGGATTATCATCTGATTGGAAGGATGGGGCTGAGCACACACATCCCTCTTGCTGGCAAATCTCCCTGTCACTGAATGGCATGTGCTGGGCTATGTCACTGCTTGTATGTCCACCCCTTTCCCCTGCCCTTTGCCTGCCTCGTCTATGGAGATAGTGAACTCTTCAGGGCAGGTTTGTGCAGTGCCTAGAACAACGGCGCCCTGGCTTTGGTTGGTCCCTAGACACCACCAAAATAAACCGAGTTAATAATAATGGAATGTGGGAAGGATGGGAATGAAGCTGGTCAATGGGAGTTTTGCACATGTGAGGATTATGGGATCTGATGCTAAGGCACATGACACCACCAGGGGCTAGGAAATGGATCAAGACTTGCTTTGGGAGGGATCATCCAACAGGCAGCCAGCTGCTCTGGGCAGATTTAGAACAGGGATTTAGGGCCAATTCGTGCTGCCAGTGAAGTCAGTGGGAGTGTACAGGTATCTGTAAGAACCTGTTGATCGGTCTTCCATCAGGGAAGGCATCGCTAGGGGGTCTCCTTCCAGATGGGTGCGTTGGTCACTTTCTTTTAGGTGTCCCCCAAAAGTGGCATTTGAGGGACCTAGTCAGTGTCATTTATTCAATGGGGTGCTTTAATGAAATGGCTCATTCTGGGGTACTTGTGCTTGGGATGCATAAGCCCAGTTTGGTGCTCTGATAACACAGCGGTGAGTGTGTAACAAATGCCAATGCAGAGAGATACCAGAACTCCTTGGAGCCAGATGGATGAGCAGGCAAAATGGACCACTTGGGTTCCGGGGCAGGTCTGGACACTGCAGGAGGAAGAGCAGGATTAGCCCTTTAGGAAGGGTATTTTTAAACCTCAAGGAAATGCCCAGCCTGTCTTTGCCTTAGTTTTCACCCCATTCACTAATTGCTGAAGCCATGTGTTCAGTGTGCGTCAGCTGTGGCTTCTCACTTCCCATAGTTCCAGTGACACTGTACAATGGTGGTCTTTTGAGATGCTACTTGCAGACTAACAGCCCAGCATCAGAAAGGCAGAAGTGTAACTCCCCCACAGGAGAAAGGGGAAGCAGCCCTTTGAGAAAGCGTGAGCTTATCTGCATGTATCCACAACTGCAGTGGAAACAACCAGAAAAACGGCTGCCCAGTTTTAACATGCTCTGGTGCGTAAGAGTCCTCTGAGCAGAATTAAACAAAGGCAGCTCCCCTTGTACTGACTGCATGTCCAAGGTGTCCCGCTATGGCAGGCAGATTCTCTAGCAGAGTGGACATTAAAGCGTAGATCTATGAGAGTCAAGGGGGCTTCTCTCACCAGCAGAGGTACGCCATCTCTCCCAGAAGCGGTAGCTATGTAGATGGGAGAAGCCCTCTGTTAACATAGTACTGTGTACACCGGAAGTTAGGTCGGTATAACTGCATTGCTTGTTCAAACCCCTGAGCAATGTGGTTATACAGACATAAGTTTGTAGTGTAAACCAAGGCTCAGAGCCTGTAAAAGTGGCTCCAAGGTGGCTTATCCTTGATGTTATTCTAGTGAAGTCAGTGCAGTTACATCTGGGATGAATTTGTCCCATTGGCTTTAGGCTAGGGCTCCCCAGTACTGGAATGGGATGGTTTTATAATTTGGGAGTGATGACAATGGGAGTAGTAATCTTGGATTTCTGTAGTTCCACTTGTCCTAAAGAAACCCAATGCACACCAAAAACCATTTACCCACGAATTGCTACTCTGTGAAACGGCAGCTCTTCCAGGAAAGGAAAGACACTAATAAGCCGCTTCATGTACTGCTGAAAGGCAGCCTCCTCTGGGGCCCGGCATGGCAGCGAATAGTCCACTGTTAGGAACGAAAACAAAGGGGACTGTATCCAGCTGAAACTGCAGGGTGGATCTTATTCTGCAGAATGTCGTGAACTGGAAAAAAGAAAAGGAGTACTAGTGGCACCTTAGAGACTAACCAATTTATCTCTAAGGGGCCACAAGTACTCCTTTTCTTTTTGCAAATACAGACTAACACGGCTGCTACTCTGAAACCTGTCATTAAGTGGAAAGCAATGTGTCTTAGACTGATTGCTCTTCTTTCCTATCACAGCAGTTCTCAAAGTGTGGTCTGCGGCACTTGGTGGTCTGTGGAGAGCTGGCTGCCACATGGTTCCTTCCTTTTTTCCACCTGCTAAATTGCATTAAGAGAAGCTAAAAATATCTCCTTACTTTACTCTTCCATGTTGTCAATTACTGCCATCAGACAAGGATATTGTGCAACAGTAAACAGGAGGGAAACAGGGCCAGGCTACCTCAAACAGAAGGGGAACTAGGCCCCACTGATGATAACAGATAAGGGAGACACAGGACATTCTCTCTTTAAGATGTGGTCCTTTCTATGAAAATGTCACCCCCCTGGTCTAGGGCACGGTCCCTTCCTTTAGCATCCTGAAATTGCTTAAAAGAAGAACTTCCTTCTGTAAGCATGATCTGCCAATGAACGTCCTATAGCTTGTGGGCCTGTTTGCGTGATTCTTTTTTGGCTAGCTTTGTTATGCAGCCACTGAATTCTTCTTTGGAGTCTTTGCCTGGGAGCAAGGACTGTGACCTCGTCATTCTTTAGCCTGACCTCTCGCTGCAGTCCTCTGTTCTGCCCCCCTCTGATGCCACAGAGCAGCAGAGAGCCTGTGGTAGGGAAGCTGCTCCCCTTTGGCCTTTCAATATTTCAAAGGAAACCCGAAGGGGAAGAGAGAATTGGAGCTACATTAAATAACTATTTCCAAAGACTGATTTCATATCATAGAATCATAGAATATCGGGGTTGGAAGGGACCTCAGGAGGTCATCTAGTCCAACCCCCTGCTCAAAGCAGGACCGATCCCCAACTAAATCATCTCAGCCAGGGCTTTGTCAAGCCTGACCTTGAAAACTTCTAAGGAAGGAAATGTGGGAGCCTCGGGTTCAGTTCCCCGTTCTGTCTGAGGGAGAGAAGGCGTTTGAATAGAGGTCTCCCACTCCTCTCAGGTGCAAGCTCAGAACTACTGGGTTCTGGGATATTCTGCTGTGGGGCTCCCTCACTCTCTCCTGCTGAAGCTGTCCCACTCTGGATAAATAATGAATGAGCAATTGGACCGGGGGCCTGGACCCAGGGTCTGCTGCCCCCTAGGTGGGTGCCCTAGTGACTGACTACAGACCCATTCTCCCTCTCTCTGGCCCAATGATTCTTCCACTGTGACTAAATGTTTAACTAATTACTGGGCCAAAGCGAGTGAATGTCAGCCTGACACTGTAGTCCAGTAGTTAGGGTAGCCAGCTGGGAGTTGGAGACCCTGGGTCTAGCCCTACTTCTCAACTCCCTCTCTTTCTGGGAGGGGCAGTGACCAGGGCCATTCCTGGGGGCGGAGCCTGGGGCAGAAGTGACGAATCCGTCACTTCTGGAACCGACCCTGCTGGGCGGCGGATAAGAGAGGCTGAGGGAGGCAGTGCTTCTCCAGACAGCCAGGTGTGGCCCTGTCCGCACTCTGCCACCCCAGGGGCCTGCTTCAGCAGTGCCGCTGGGCTCCAGGGGGCTGGGCCATGCCGCTCTCCCTTCTGGCACTTGGGGGATGGGGGTGCGGGCACTAGCCAGCCTGGGGCGGGGGCCAGTGGCAGTGGTGGGGGGCCATGGGTTCTGGGACATGCAGAAGGGGTGGGGCTGGGTTCACGCACCGCCCATGCACACCAGCCAGTCGCGCTGGCCAGTGGGGCCCAGAGCGGTTGCCCTGATTCGCCGTACTCTAGGGATGGCTCTGGTAGTGACTGCTCTTGGACTTTGCTCCCCTTTACACCTTACTGATTTCCGGCAAGAAACTGGATTTGCTGCCTCAAGAGGCATTAGCAGCCACAGCCTCCCCTCCAGGAGAGAGTGTCTGCCAGTGGCAGAGGAAGGGTTACTATGGGGAAGGTGGCATGTGCTCTCCTTACAGCCCAGCAGGAGATCTGCTAGCTTAGGGGCCTGCAAGGGGAGCAGCTCTCCCCATTGCTCCATGAAGTGATGATCAGGAAGCTCCACAAGGCAAAGTTCAAGGCATCTCCTGCCCCTTGTGCCAGGGGAGGGGAATCTGCATCTGGGAGAGTATGTCCCCTGCTTCTTACATCTATGCCAGGACAATGGTAAAGAATCACATGAAGAGCTGCTTTCTTCTATCACTGAACTAGGAACTCTGTTAGAATAAGGAAAACAGTATTAGCCCTAAGCCGCTCTGTCCTTCGCTCTGCTTCCCTGGAGAGCTTAGAACCTTTCTATCAAAGGGCATGCATGCCCTGTAGCGCCACCTTCAGGCTAATGTGGCTCTGCTGGGGCCTACCTTAGTTTCCCCTTTACTCGGGGCCACACAGTCCAGATATTCAAAACACTCCCCTTCTGGGATCCAATTATTAAGTCCTGCACAGCGTCTTTCAAAAGAGAACTCAAACTACAGCCTTCACTCCTTTTTCATCAGGGCCTAGCTCAGTCCCTCCTCCCTGACAGTCGATCTCCCATCACCTCTTGCCTGGAATTTGGCCTTTCCACAGGCCATTGGTGTCTTCCCCCTGTTGACTTAGGAGCCTTCTTGCTCCCTGCTATGCTTGCAGGCATCTGCAAATCCCCGTCTGCAGCTGCTTCCCCTTTTATAAGGTCCAAGCGCCTTCCCTGAAGCCCAGTTGGACAGCAGGTAATCAGTCAGCTGCACTGAACCCTGCCCCCTCCTAAAGGGGATAGTCATCCTGGCCCAGATCCACAAAGGTATGTAGGCTCCTAATTTCCACTGAAGTAAAGGGATGTGAGGAGGCTAAAT